TAAACTGTGAATCTTAGAACTTATTGACCATGACCTGCCTTATACACCGATGTTTTCAGAACAACTTTTTACTTAGTACTTTTATGCAGGACCACTCCCACCTCTTTTTACTTCATTCTCACTCAAATAATTTCATTTTCACTCACACTATTTTGGCTCTTTTGAATTCATAAAACAGAAAAATTTAGATGAAACTTGATTTTCTTCTACAAAGAACACCTGAAAACCCATGATTTATTGCTCCTGAATGTTTTATTGTTATTCATATGTAAATTTGCCTCTTGAACAAACACAGTAAACCGAGCGCGCCTCACCTTTGAGCAGGTGGCCAACCAAGGCGAAATTAAAATTAGCAATAAAATTCAGGCCCACGAAGTGATCCATCTGCTTACAGTGCCACTCTAGAGGGCGCCGGATCTCCATGAAGACTTCCTCTGGACTCTGTGACACGGATATGAAGTCTTGAATATACTGTACCATCGTATTTGTATCTTTAGAATAATTAATTTTATGTTTCTGGTTTAGTAAACCTAAACAAACCTTGTCGTTGAAGATGCGCATCGTGTCCAGAGTGTGGAGGTTCTGCTCCAGGAGGGCGGTGCCAGCAGAGTACAGGTTGACCTCATCCAGCTGCAGCACAGCCACCGCCACCCAGAACAGAGCTTTATGCATCGGGGATTCCTACAGGAAACACAGAGCGAGTTCATTTGACGACGATGATCATTGTTATTATTAAGCTATTATCATTTTTCCAATATTCCATAACCTGTGTTATTTGCACTATTACTACGACTATTGAATTCTTGGTGATATTGTGGTGAGTTTTTAATATTTTTCATATTTCCCCCTGGTGGTGAACAAATTATTTCTGAATCTCATTTCTGATAAAGACGAGGAAAGATATGTGGGTTTTTTGCTAACCTTGCTGAGCAGAGGCTGAAGCTTGGTTAAAGCGATGACTGTGGCTTCTATCAACACTTGACTGTTGTAATTGTCCGGTCCTTTCAGGCAGCTCTCCAGGCCCTGTGTCGGAGACACGGAGACAATCAATGAACGCAAACAAAACAGGCAGAAAAAAAACAAACAGGACAACAGGCAGAAAAAGAAGGACCAAAGCCTTGTGTACAAGTAAAACCTATGATGATGGACAGAGATTGAAGAGTTTATTTGTTAAACACGCATTTAAGTGTCTCTAAAAAAATACTAAACATGACAAAACCCCTGTGTGCCTACACCTACTCTCAGAATGGAATGGGAGTGTGTGAATGTTGACGCTCACTCTGTCTATGCTCAGCAGAGGGCTGGCCTTGCTGAGGATCCTGATGATCTGCTTGATCTGACCATGGCTCACTCTCTTACTGATGCATCCAAACACCACCAGGGCTCTGGGCTGAAGTGAAGGGTTGTACTGGAAAGCAAACCTAAAATCCGGACACACACGCAAACGGACAAATGTTATTCAAACTGAACATCCGTCGTAGACGGACAGATGTATTTAAACTGAACCCGAGGATCAACGTACTTCTGTGCAAGCTCTGTCCACTGGTCCAGCCACTTGCATGATGGGATGTCTCTCATGCAGGCCTGAAAAAAAAAAGCACACAGTTAACACACAAGAACAAAAGTCTGGCTGCCAGATCCAAACTCCAAATCCAAAAAGCAGACTTCCTCAGCTGACCTCCATGATCTCCAGTAATGCCTCTGTGACAGTTTCCAGGGAGGACAGAGCGAATGTCTCCCTCTCGTAGGAGCCCGGCGAAAAGGAACGGTCTCTGTAGCTGGAGCGGAAAGCGATGACCGCGGCTGACTTGACTTTACTGATGCCGAAGAGCAGGTAAAACTTTGGCAGGGAGAATTCGGTGAGGCTCAGCCTCAGGACCTGCTTCGTTTCCTCTGGAATCGTTCAAAACACAACAGCAAACACATCAATATCGGCCAGTAAAACCGGTGGCGGCGGGCGGTGAGACTCAAGCTGACGTCGGTCCTCACCACTGAAGTTCAGCTGAGAGCAGGTGCACAGGGAGTGGATTATGTTGATCACCAAGCCGTGGGTGGAAGCCCGAAGCGACAGTGGCCCGGTGGCGACCAGCAGGGTCACCACGTGGAAGAGGTAAGGCAGGTGGGCGGCCACGTCCAGGGAGTTGTTGAAGGAAAGCATGAGCATGTAGCGCGCCAAGATGGCGATGTCGTCCCACATGAGGTGCTGCTCCAGTGTGGGCGTCGGCGACAGGCAAGTTTTGTCTATGATCTTGCACATTCGACCAATCACCTGCCACGGAGAATAAAACAAAGTCTGTCATTGAGGCTCACCGTCAGTCCATGGACAAATTTATTTGTTGCTTAGTCTTGTTTTTTTAAGGTGGAGCCTTTCCATTAATTTTAGCTTATTCTAAAGTCGTGTTGCTCATTTGGAATGCACCAGTTATTCTGATCAAATGTAGTATAGTATAAACTTGTACATATGTGTTTTTAATAACAAAATGATATATATGTTTTATAGCATCGAGTAAAATAAAAAAACTCCTGGGTGACAAACAGCAGAAGAGCCGCGGACAATGGGCCATTATTCTCAGTTAACTGTCGCGCGATGACATCACACATCAACGGTGTGGATAACAGCGGCATAAATACTCATGAACGGTTCCCACAGACAGGTGAACGGCTGCGTCTGACCTTTGCCGAGTCTGTAGAGCACTTTTAAACTTCACTAAATCAGTGGCGGAGGCAGCAGCACTTCAACTTGAACGCTGGCTGTGTGTGTGTTTGTTTTTTTGTTTTTTTCAGTCAACACGCGTCACAATAGACACCATTCAGGGCCATAATAGGAGCAAGGGCCTGGCTTTTCTTTTGTGCCTCAGTGTCTGTGTGTTCTGTTTGTTTTTCTTAAGCTGATTTCAGATCCGAGGGACACAGATGATGGATGGCCAGTGAATGAGGTTATTCTCATTGGAATACTTTAGTGAGGTGATTTATTTCTGAGATTTTTTTTTTTGGAAGCCTTTATTTTCATACACTGGGCGTTTTACTTTTTTTTTTTCCTACGTCGTCACTGTCACCGAGGAGAAGAAACTAAGTTTCCTTCGTTCTAATAGGTAATAAAATATGTTTTAACGCTGCTGCAATTTTAAATTTGGATTTAGTTCAAGCTAACGTTCCCAAATATGAGCTTTAATTAATGATCTACAGTCGTGATGTAGGCAAAAAAGAAATGTTTTTTTAACCAGAAAATAGACTGACATTTAATCTGATTATGAGACGTTTGAAATATCAACTGATGACATCTGCCTGGTATTTGTGAACTATTTCTGATCCGTACATGTCATGTTGCTAAAATGTACCAGTAAGAAGAGCACATTATGAACCAAACCAAAGAGAAAACATTATGAGCAGTGTCTGTGTCTGTGGGCATGGTTTTCATATATGTTGTCATATTCAGATATTGTTTTGTTCTATACCTCTAACCATCACTTAGTCAGTTCTTAGAAACAGACTCACCTTACTGGAGACCAGTTTAACATTCCCTGAAGCCAGAGCTACTGCCGTATCAGCCATCACCTCTGCTTTGATGGAGCCCAGGCCTCCTGTGGCGCTGGTCTTAATGAAGCTGTCCAACACCACATCCAACAGGTCTGTGATCTGGAGACAGACGGCGGCAGGGTCAGAGAGGTCAAGTCTTTCTATCACAGAGATGTTTTTGGATAGAGCGGTGTCTCACCTGGCCCAGGCTTCCCCAGATTTTGGCCTGGATGGATGGATACATCTGCTTCTCATTGATGGTCATGGTGATGAGTTTGTCCAAAATGGCCGTGACGCGCTGACGCTTGGCATCGTCGTTGTGCTTACAGAAGCGAACCAGGTTCAGCAACCAGGGAGTCATGTACTCCAGGCACAGGTGTTTCAGTTCAATACCTGCAGTGGTCAAAAAACAGACACTTAAAAAAAACAGAACAACGCCTCCTGTTATCCACCACCAGTGCTTCGCTGCTGCGATGTAGACGATAACAAACAGAATACTTGTATATTTTTGTCGTCTTCTAACTAAGAAGAACGAACATTCTGCTCAGTGACACACTGATGGACTTACTGGACTTGCTGAAGCCCGAAATGCACTCCTCCAGAAACTCCAGCGTCAGATGAGGCTCATTGGCAGCAAGCGTCTTACTGATGGAGACTATGAACAGGGTGTTGTTTGCTGGAATACAGAGGCCCGACGTTTCCAGTAACTGGCCCTCTATCTTGAGGTTGAAGGTGCAGGTCAAAGCACACAACAGATTGTAGGCTGCAGACCTGGAAGTGATAAAAGAAAATGTCAGGTTTTTTCAGGTCAGTGGAATTTAAATGGCGCCATCTTAAACAAGCAGAGCGAGAGAGACAGAGAGAGAGTCAAGTAGCATGGATTGTAGGGTGACTCCACAATCCCTGCAGGGCTGACCTGAGACTGGGGTCAGAGCTGCCGAGATTGAGCAAGGCGATGTTCAGCAGAGTGCCAGGAACGTCTTTAGGACGGATTTTGGTGTGCTGCGGTATAGAATCTGGCTGGGACAGCTCCCAGCGTGTACGGATGTGGATGATGGACTGGACGATGGTGTCGCACTCCTGGTGCATGAATGTCAGAGGCGTGCCCTGATTGGCCATGGTTAAAGTAAACTGGCTCTCGTCCACCAGGCAAATCTCCTCGATCTCCGAGGCGTAGTAGACGTCATTGAGGAAGACCGGCTGACCGAGGACACGTGTGCGTTCGGCTGAGGTCACCTGAACAGCCGTTGATCCGACCTAACGAAGAAGAAAAAAAAGTATCATTTGTGAAACACAGTGGTCATGGTTGAAGTGGGCGGGGTCTGCTAAAACTGCCAGAGTGAAGTTCTCACCTTTATTGAGACCTTGGTATCTTTGTGGGCCAGCTTCAGAGCATTATGGAAAACCTTAAGATCTTCCTCCAAAGTCAGTGTGGCAGCAGGCAGCTTCTGCTGGTCGGGTTCGATGTGTTCAGCCAGTTTGGTTGGAGAATCAATGAACTGCAGACGTTTGCTGCCCTTCAAGCCGGTCAGGAGCCGCTCGTGATACTTGGTGTACTCTCGTACCCACGTGTTGCAGTTGTAGACGTAAACGGCTGCTACGTTCTCGTAGGCGAAACCAGGAAAGACCACAAACCACTTGGACAGGAAGTCGGTCTTGAAGCGATTGCTCGGTCCCACGTGGGTCAGGTCGACGACTATCTCGTACGGCTTGGCGTAGTATGGTTTGAGGGTGAGGAGGACGTGGTAGATGAGCAGGTCACCGTTGATCTGTCCCGTTTTGAACCTGGACAGAGAAGACGATACATAACATCAGCTCACGTCAGGTCTTTATCTGGACAAAAGGCAAACATCAAAAATTCATTGATTTTTTTTTTTCTTCATTTCTTTCTAGAGCCACAGCCGTAAAGAGGGATCAAAAGTGTTTTTTAGAGGAAATTGTAGCAGCAGCCGTCTCAACTAAGACTACATCAAGTAAGTGTTCACTTCTGCTTTTTAAGATATTTTAAAAACCTCATTGTTTTCAATCATATCTGGCTTCAGTTTTATATTTACTGTTCTTGTAAATTTGTGATTTTGTTTTTTTTTTATTGTAGACTTTCTTAATTTAAGAGCATAATGGAGGGCACAACAGCACGTCTATGTCTTTTTCTGCTACTCCTGATCGGTGCCATCCACGGAGACCAAGACTTTTCAACAATGCAGATGAACACACCCAGCTCTGACCTAGAGAACACCCTGCAAACTGCCGTCGAGTCCAGCGCCTTCAACACCGACGACACAGACTTTTTCGACACCAACGGCACTCGAGCCGACTGCTTGATTGACACTGAAATGGGTCTGATTGCCGTAGGTTCAGCTGGAGGGCTGATCGTCTGTCTTCTTGTTGCCACCGTGGTACTGGCCTGCCAAGTCTGCCACCTTCAGAAGAGGGTTTATCTTCCCCGAACCTCTAGGTCAAACACGAATTTGGTCGGCGGTTCGAGCTACTGGGACGCAGACCAGTCCGACGGTGGGGGAGTGGTCGGGCCGTGTGACAGCAGCGTCATCCTTGAGGAGGTGACAACGGAAGGTAAGACAGAAGCAGAAGGCTCATCTCAAAGAGAAGACGCAAAGGAGGAGGCCAGTACAGGACTAGAAGAAGGAGCGGTGGCGATGGCTTTGCTCCCAAAAGAAAAACCCAGGCAGTCGCCCATCTCCAGCTCCAGGGACTACGGCCTGGAGGTGCCCAGGGATCTGGAGGATATGCCCCTTGTTGTGTGAGGAGTCGAGTCACAAAATCCAGTACAACTTCTTACCCAAAATATCTACCATTGAGTTTATATAATGATCTATATTTGATCTGTAAACGTCCAGTCAAAAACCTTTTCCAGTTCCTTTCAACGTAAAGTCTTTGGTCTGAAAAAACCCAATGCTGATACAGTACATTAAGTGTGGTTTCTGAGGTAAAAAAAAAAGAAAATTCTATTACACCCTTCTTTCAAAAGCGAAAAACAGTTAACTGTTAAAAAACATATATTGAAGTAGACACTTACAGGTCAAACGTTTTGGGAACGATAAGAATGATTTGTAACTTTGCCGATCATAAGATGAATGATTGGGAAAAAGACAAGAAAAAATGCCTTTTGAAAAAATGACAAAGCAAAGAATAAATCTGCCGTAATTTACATGCTCCCTCTTTTTTGTCACTCAAAAACATCATGTGTGAGAAAGTGGGCGTCAGACTGTTTTAAGTGTTTAACAAAATAACCGAGTGCCAAAAAACAAATGAAGATACTCACAAAACATAAAGTACAACAGAGTCAAAGTTAACGTCACAATCTCTCACGATTTTGCTTCTTTATCCACTTTTGACTGATGAATAGAACATTGTGTAAATGTTCCACTAACAGTTGATATATTGGTGAGTCTCTGAGGACGTGGCTTTTTAATACAATGATGGTGTACACAGAGAAAATGTGTTGATGTGAAAGTTAAAAATAAAGTGATTTTTTTTCTTCTTTTTTGTTTTGCATTAAACCAATTTGTTCTATTTGCATGATGATGGCACTGGTCCGGCTTCACTTGACATCTAATTTGGATGCATGTGGCATCGTGAACCAAAAACGAGTTTGACATCCCTGATCTAAACTGAATAGACAACATAAATTAGGAATTTAAACTGCAGTGAAACCCAGTTCATCACCTTTGGACAGAGGTGATGACCGGCTCTGCCTCTGTGATTCACCACCTCCACCACCATAACTGAACTTCCTATGAGGCAACGGTGGCAAGTTTCATTTAAAAGCAGCTCCTTCCTGTCACTACTTCCGTCTTTCACTGCAGAGACGACTTTCTAGAAAACCAAACGTGGTTTGAGTAATCCCACTCTAAACTCTCTTTTTTTGCTGGGTGAGTACATTTTATTTATTTATTTATTTATTATTTATTAAAAGAAAATCTATATGTTGCATTTTTGTTGAATTGCATTTTTTGTGGATCTGAAACAGTCATTTTATATTTTGAAGATCACAAGTGAATCCCATTAAACTTCACATTAGATAAAAAAAAATAAAATAAAGAAAAGAAAATGAATAAATAAAAAAAGTTAAGCTTTTTATTGTTTGGAATGTATTTTAAACCAGGGATCGAAACTATTTCTAAGTAACTAAACCGATGTCATAAGAAAAGCATGTTTCAACACCTTTTTCACACTTTTCTTGCTGCTTTGTGCAGCTTAATGTTCTTAACAACTGTGTTACTTCCTCCATTGCAGCTTGAATTACAGAACAGCAGCTGAAGTGAAAAAAAAAATGACGCTCCATTTCTTCAGCATTTTACTTTTGTGGTTACTGCCGCTCAGCGCAGGCCTAAGTGCATTTACTGCCAAGCCATCAGTGCCATCAACGCAATCCACAGACGACGTAAGTGTGACGGAGGAAAAAACAATGAACCCCAGTGGAAAACCGCTTATTTTGGTGAGTCAGACAACACTTCCTGTGTCACACCCGGTGGACCCAAAAGCAGCAAGGCCATCCTTTTCCACAATGTCTCAAGTCAACATTTCAACAGCAGACTCAACATCCGCAGGAACAGTTGACCTTGAAACGACGACGTCATCAACGGCCGCTGAGACGACCGGTCAGGATGAAAAGACAACTCGGGTTGTTTTTAGCACTTCAACCCAGTTTGGTAACTCCACCCAGAGCCAAAGCCCAGGCACGACATCGGACAGTGTTAACATTACTGATGGAAACACACAGCCCATCTCAGCAGCTGTTACTTTGACTACGACTACAAAGACGTCTAGCACAAGAACGACAGCCAAAAAGGGCGCTACGCCATCAACACCTCCGAAAAAAACCACAGGTGATAAAGACCAAACTAAAGCAAAGAAAAAACAGCAAAAGGACACATTCCACAGTAAATTGGCCGCAGGATTGATAGGTGGAGCCCTGGTAGGGATGATGGTGGGATTCCTGATCATCTTCCTTAAAAGGAGAGGCATTCAGAAGCAACAACTGATCACGGCGGAGTGGGCCGGACCGTCACCTTTTGTACAGAACGGCTCAGACGACGATCACACGCACGGGTCAGACAACAAAATCGTTCTCACAAACTTCCTGCCTCAGAGACTGTCGAAAAGGTTCTCTTTCCTCCACGACACAGGCGAGGAGATGAAGGAACTGAAACCAGGGACGACCTTTGGAGATAAACACCGAGAAGAAAAACCCGTGTGCCAAACAAGTGGAAAAGATCCTGAAGACACCAAGGAGACCGCTCCAGTTGTTCAAGAACCCAAAAGCACAGAGTCACAGCAACAAGCAGAGAGTCAAACAGGTCCACGAGAACCTCAACCAGCAAAGGACACACTATAGTCATGTCTGTCCCAGTGTCTGTCCCAACGTAATAATGGCCAAAACTGTGTTGGTTAGCATTAGGAATGCAAATGGAATATTTGAAGATTTTTTTTTAATGTTGTATTAATTGTGCACGGTATGTTTTAGATTTATTCAAATAAAAATGTAAACGTGAAAATATGAATTTTCCCCGCGTACCACCACTCTCTGGTGGTACCACAGTTTGAGAACCACTGTATTACAGTAACGATAATAAGTGGAAGGACAGTTGAGTGGATACAGAGTGGGTGACATCCTGCTAATGTGTTAAAACATTTTTTTAATCTGTTTAATTTCACAAATGAATAACCAAAGCCTATGGAATTATTTTAACAGTCCAACTTATTACAAATCAACATATTTATTTACTGTAACTTCATGTCACATATTCTTAATTAAAAATACAGTGGTAACTAACTCCTTAAATAGAGGGTTCTTGGTAGGGACGAGAAACAAACGCATTTCCCTTTTTATCAAGGATGTATTGAAACAATCTGTGGTGGCATGAGGCAAACCACTTCCTGCATTTAAACGTAGACCATGTTCAGGTATAATCCGGTCTCGACCCCTGATTTGCCTCCTTTTTGATCTTCAGTGCAGAACAAATATACTTTAAAAAAAAAAGAAGAAGAAGTGCATTCAATAGTCCATGCACTTGAGTTCCTTTATCATTATCTCAGCCATGAGTGCAGCTGCAGAAAATATAACAGTGTTTCTCTAAGAGCTGATTGTCAACGTAGAAGGAAGTGTGATTTAAAAAAAAAAACGAACTGTCAAACTTCCACATATGACAGTGTCTTGTGAAACGCTTGCGAAAAAGCCAGATGTACGACTGTCTGTACGTGTTATTTTTAAACGTGAGGAAGTTTTGCAAATTTAGAAACACAACGGTCTAAGACATGGAACATGAATACGTAAATAATTCATTTAAGTTTCTACCAAAACTTTCATTCATTTTGTTAAGAACAAGTGCCTGAACATCTGGCCCAGTAGGTGGCAGTAACGCCATCAAGAGATTTTAAAATCGGATGTACATGTGAGGTGTTGAGCTACAGAACTGGGTTGAAATAAAAAGTAGTTTTTTTTTTACATGTGGGGGGAAAAAAATTTAAGAAACTGTGAGCAATTATAAATACCTTTAATATATTATAATATATTATAGAGAATGCAAAACGCTAATTAAAATCGTAACCATTTACTTTGAATTTTTACTTGTATTATATTCTATAGAGTTACAGATTTCTTCCAGTCATGACATAATATTTGACTTTATTATTTGGACATTTTCTCACCCTGCACTTTGTCTACGCGAGGCTAATAAAGCTTTCCAGTACTACATCTTACTATGAAGGACTTTCTTTAAATAAATAAAGAAACACACGTTTAAATGCACCTGCTCAGAAGAGTGTTTTCTCCGTGGCTTCTCTAATACACCAAGCTGCTGAGCCAGCGTCATAAAACAGAAATCATAGGCTACGCTACTGTCAGACACACGTAATCATCCACTGGCTCAGCACTTCTCAGCTCGCAGCTGCCTCTGCTGCTGAATACCAGGGTGTATCTATCGAAAACCGTCACAACTATTATATCTCCATCTGCTGGTTCTTTGTTGGAATACGTCAACCGAAAGAAATGTAGTTCATGTCAACACACCCTGTAAAGAACGATTATAGAAAAGATTTTTTTTTAAAGTAACTGCACCCTGTAAAGAACGATTATAGAAAAGTTTTTTTTTTTTTTGAGTAACTATTAAAAACTCTATAGTTAAAATATCATTTAACATCTACAGCTCTGAGGTTTGAGGCCAAACGACAACCAAATGATACAAATGAACCAGAATCGAAGCCCAACAATCAGTTATACTGTGTACTGTGATTTTTATTGTGTGGTCTGTTTGGTAATAGAATTGATAAATACTACATTACATCTCATTCAAAGATAATTTGCCCGGCAAAATTCAGAATTCCAAAAAAAAAAAAAAAAAAAAGCATCGGGAGAACGTTAACTGGATTGACGATAGTTGTCAATGTGGCTCCGTGATGCGTCTAGGGTGTACCCTGGGTTTTGGCAGACGCCGAGTGGGATTGGCTCGCCTCACGGAGTGAAAGGGTAGAGGAAGATAAATGAATGACTGAATGAAGGAATGCTGCATCAGCAGCACGGATAATTTATTCTAAAGAGAGTTTTAAAGTCAATTCCTGTATATAAACAATGGACATGAACACAATAAAAACGGCCGGTGCTGCTTTTGCACCGACTTCAAGTGCTTTTTCACAACCTCATCTTCAGCCTTTAGCACAACCCCTAACGGGTTCTCCTTCATTTAGATCATGTTTTGGTCCCAATTAAGACCAGCAGTCCAAAAGAAATCTGTTTCTCTCCCACTCACTCTCTCTCTCTCTCTCTCACACACACACACTGGCTTGCTTCATCAGCAGCAGCAGCAGACTGTGCTGGCTCGCTGCTGCATTTCTCTCTCCCTCTCTACCTTCCTCCCCTCCCTCAGCCTCTCTCCTTCTCCTAACCTGCACCTCTAGCTGCATTGGGAGCCTGCAGAGCAGTCAGCAGGCAGGACAGAGGCTGGTACAGGCTGGCAGCATGTAAACGTGTGACACCGAGGGCTTCGGATAGGTGAGGACCAACACAAGCGCAAAGGATAACGAGCTGGAGGTGGAGACGAGACGGGAGGAAAGGAGCGATGACATGATGAGGTAAACAACTGCAAACGGAAAGCGAATGAGACAGAAAAAAAAAAAAAAAAAGACCGATGTAACACCTGATGGGCAGGGCATTCAGGATGTTGTTAATGTTGTTAGTACACTGTAATGCTTTGCTGACTCATGAGCTTCAGCACACTGCAGATAAAAATGATAAACATGGTCCAGACAGAGACAGCAACAATTTGCAATTATTTAAAAAAAAAAACCCAAACATGTCCTTTAGCATGGCTTCACTAAACCTACGTTCCCGTGCGTCAAAACACAAACACAAAACACCTCGAATCTTGAGAACCGACCCTGTGTGGATGGAGAAACTATTTTTTTTTGTCTTTTTTTAAAAACGATTGGCGTCTCACTGCAGCAATCTGAACTCCAGTCCCACTGGCAGAGCTTCAAGTCTTAGGAGAAGCAGAGTTTAAGTGCTGTGTTCACGTATGTGTGGTTAAACATGACAAACCAAGGACGACCAAAACAAACTGTGAGGTCAACGCTAATGGAACACAACAGGAAAAAAAAAATGATTGAATTAATCATAAAAAAAAGAAAATCTAGATTCAATTTTGATTACATTAGATTATATGTCTAATTACAAAAACACTTAAACTCACATTCAGCATCTTAACTGTAATTTTCTGTTTTATTAAGAATGCTGAAAATCAATAAAATACATTTTGTAAATAAAAAGAAAAACTTTTTTTTTGTTTGAAAATAAGCATTACATTTTCCCTTCTCCTTCTTACTGAATAAAAAGATAAAGAGATGATGATCATTAAAAAGATTATCTTTAAGTGACTATTTTAAATTCCTCCTGATGAGCTCTAAAACACTAACCCTCAAACTGTTTGTCAGCTGAGTCCTGGTTGGCAACACAACACACGTTTTAGACACCAAACCCCGGCTCAACACTTCACGAGAGACCGCTTTATAAATAGATGCCTTTAGCATAGTCACTGTCACCAAGTCACCTGATTTTAACCTACAAAACACGGCGCTCACTCACATTTACGCCCACTTTCTATCTGTGAAGGATTTTTTTTTCCACCTGGGGACGGTCTACGTCTGTGTCTATAAATGGCATCAGCTCGTAAAAGCAAACAAAGATTAATTAAAAACAGTCTTAATGTAGAAAGAAAAATCCTGGCGGCGTCCCAGTATTGTGACACAGTTAACGCAGCATCAGTAACAGCAGCAGGAAACCTCTTGCTTCTTTGCACAAGCGAGGCAAATACAAATACCTCTGACAACAGTTATTTAGTTTGATAAGCGACTTCAGCCTGAATCTGAGATACTGTGGATCAAGTGACACAAAATTTATTATTAAAATTTTTTTTCTGCCCCTTTAAATTACTGTCTTATTTGAGGCTCATAAAGTTTGACCTTCCCTGAAACACTTTCTTTCTGTCTCCGTCTCTGCAGATTCCTGACCATGCCTGCCAGCTGCTCTGCCTCTCTGCTCTGTCTCTCACTGCTGCTGCTGTGTGGACTCCTGGGAGGCTGGGTGCTTTCTATCTGCCCCTCTGTGTGCTCCTGCAGCCGGGGACACCGCGTGGTGGACTGTTCCTCGCGAGGACTAGAACAGCTCCCTGTGGGTCTGCAGCACAACATCTGGTTTCTTAACCTGTCATTTAACAGGTAAGGTGAGAGAGAGACGACAACAGCTTGTTTTGAGTTGTCCCTTTGTGGTCAAAGACATGATCAGGATGTGGGACAGTTACCAAGCAAAACTGCAACTGCAATAAAAATGTTTTTAAATTAGGAATTTGAGAAGCAGGTGAAAAGCCCTGCCTTCAGATTTCACCAAAGAAATTTCTTTTTTTTTTCAGTAGACAATGTTAAATAGGGAAAAATAATAAAATAAACCAGAGTATTCAAATAAATTCCCCACACAGTGCTGCAGCCACTGTGAATTCAAGTGTCAATAAAATTTAAATTAAAAACGATTATTGTTGGCCAAGGAGATCGATCAACGTCAGCATATTCTTTGTTGCGTTAAGGAATGAACACAGAGATTTAATAAATGATTCTCTCTGCTCCTAAAGGTCGGTGAGCCAAATCATTAAACCAATTTATTTAACTGCATTTAGAGTCTAAGCATCTTAAAAAATTAAAATATTTCTTTATAATTCCAAAGACATTGCTGGTTAGAATATGTGAGGCACTAGAAGTAAAAATAAAAAGTATAAAAGTAACATAAAAAGTGATGAAAATATCTTAATGGCTGTCATTCAGGATCGTTAAAGACCATTCGTTTTTATACTTCTGTTTCAGAATCATAAAAAACAATAACATGTTCCTTTTTCTCCTGTCTTTCCTCTGGCAGTTTGCAGGGTCTGGGCACTCAGCTCAGTCACTATGTTCACCTGCGAACCCTGGACCTGTCGTACAACCGACTGGACAACCTGCCCCCTGCTCTGCCGCGGTCTCTGTGGGACATACGAGCGGCCGGGAACCAACTACGTTCTCTGGAGAAAAACGACACCGCCTACCACTGGAACCTGAAAGTG